TGGGACAGAGAGTATCTCTCATAGAAAACAGAATGAACAGAATCAAACATGTTTGGGAAGTGGGAAAGAATCTAACTGTGTTGGCACTTACATGCCCCTCCTGGAAAGTTGTGTTTAGTCCAGATTATGGGAGCCTTGAATGCCAGGACCACCCCATGTATAGTCTTTAGGTAAAGGCAAATCAAAGATAAGATCTGCCCCTGGTAGCTGACTTTCCTCAACTCTGAGGAAAAATAGCCAAAATCCTTGTGAAGGAAAGTAACAGAAAAGAGAAGGAAGGTTCCTTCTGTAGGCCAGAACAATGAAAGAAAAACCTAAATTCGAAATTGATTTTGGTGTTTGAAAACTAAATAACACACTTTAATAACCCAAGGGACATAGGTGAAATCAAATGAGAAATGAAAGTATTTTGAACTGAATTAAAATGAGAATACAACATATCAAACTGATTTTGGCAATTAAGGCTTTCCGTGTGCAAGTGTGAAGCCGATGAGCAGTTTTGGAAGTGGGAAAACACTTGGGAATGAAACTGGGTACTTTGTGATTCCCAGGAAATGAAATCATGTTCCTGTGTTTTGGAGTTTGCCGTCTAATTAAGGCAGGCAGTGATTTCTACTTTAGGGTGTCTGTTCTCAGGCACCTCCCATCCTTTCTGGGCATTTTTCCTCGTCAGACACTCTCACCCACTGACTCCCTCCTCGCCTTATTTTAAAAGATACCCACTCAAGAACTTTGATGTTTCACCTTTTGAAACTTCTTGCATTTCTTTGAAACGCACCTACCTTGATTGCCCATTACTTAGGAGACTCTAGAACAAAATTTAAATTTCCTTAATCTTCAGACACATTCAGCGCATCAGAAGTTTGTGGCCAGTCGTTTAATAAGCCCTGGAAAAGGGCAGCCAGCCAGCTTCAAGACTATGCTAACGAAGACGCTACTTTGACCCCATTCTTAAGATGAATGAATGCACCTGCACCGGGAGTGCCCTTGAGGCAACAGTGCATGTCATAGCTGGCTCAAAAACATCAAATATCTAGCCAAAAGGGATCTCAAAGTCCACTAGTCTTGGACCCTTTGGCATTGAATCCCTTCTGATAACCTCCCTCTAACTAGGTGCCCAGACCACCATTTTTCAAGATGACTCATCCCTGGCCAACTTGGCCCTTGTGGCTCCCAGTACCCCAGGCTTTGTACAAGACAGTGGAATGAAGAGATAAGTAACAGCTAGCTTTGCCTTAGAAGACTTTCCACATCAGGATTGTTAGAACATTCTTTATGCAGAGACAGATCTACCTCCCTGCTAGTTCTACCTATTGTTTCCATTTGTTCTTTTATTCGTGCATTCAACAAATATTTATTGAGTTCCTACCTGTGCAAGCAGGCACAGGCGTTGGATGCTGGTGATACATTAGCAAGGAAGTCAGAGTTTGCTCTTTAGTTAGTTTCCTTTCTCATTCTACCCATGGGGTCCCAGAGAGGAAAAATCCAGTCATTCTGCCCTATAGCAGACCTTCAGCTCTTTAAGACTGCTGTGTGATTTCTCATTCCTGGTTCTTTATTTAGCGTGGTTCTAAGCCCCCTTGCCTGCCATCCTGAGTATAATTCCTCTGAATACATTCCTTATAGTTCCTATCACCCTTAAGTGTGGGTCTTAGAAGTGAATTTCTGATGAGTTTGGATTAAGAGGCTGCCAGTAGATGTGTGCAGATATGGGCACTATTTCCAAGGCAGGGTTTACCACCATCAGTGGCCTTGTCCCGGTGATCCACTCCAATATTCACGAGCTCCTGCCATAGCAATGCCAGCTCAAGGCACTAAGGGGCCTACAGAGATAAATTAGAGAAATCCCACTTCTCAAAAAAACTGAGAGCAGTAGAGATAGACCATGTAACTCAAAGGAAGGAGAGGCCACAGAGCCTTAGAGATGTAGAGTATCAAAGAGACGATCTTGGGCTTGAAAGATGGGCAGGAGGAGGCTCTTACCAGAGTCCGGGTAGCACATGACGGAAACCCACTCCAGCCACTAGCAGTGCCAATAGTAAGGGAGGGATGGAGGACAGAGATGTCCCAAAAGGACTCTCTAAGGCTGAGTGATTGGCTGTATATGGGGAGGAGGGGAAAGAGACACCAAAATGTTCTTGAGGTCACCCTGGGAGTGTAATGCGATCAGAAGGGAAGCTGGGAAGGCAAAGAGCTGGCTGAAGGGAGAGAAGTGGAATTAAGTTTGGAGAGCGTGACATGTAGTGAGTGGGACTGGCCACCAGGGGGTCAGAGGTAAGTGCCTGGAGCCTGGGCTGTTGGGACTGATGGACTGAGAAGCCCTCCTGAGCTGCTAAGGTTTCTTACGCCTGAAGGCAGGTAGGGAGGTTGAGCAGCCCTACTTCTCAATGGGAGAATGACCCTAGAGGGGAGTGGCATTTGGAATCTCTAACACAGTGGCAGGGAAGATATTTTGGCTAGAGGGAGTGTCGTCTGAAAGCAAAACCTGGATTCTAAATGAGCTGTCTTTTAGTCAAAATGAGTTTGGTATTTATATTTTTGAAAGTTAATACAACATTAAATGAGAAGGTGAAGGGTTTTTTAAATATTCATTAAATGAAAAGCCATGGATGAGGAAAAGGTCGGGAAACACTGAAATGATGAAAAAAGACAAAAATGATTCAACAAGATGAGCTTGTGAAGGTGATTGTGAGTGGTCCTGAGAAGGGACACATTGATTCTGTTCTTGGGAAGAGCAAAGGAAGATGACGGGGAGAGGATGAGGCAGGGCCTTGGGTATCACCCAGGGTGGACCACAGAAAACCTAGTATCTACATTTCAAATGCTCTTGTTCTGGAGAGCCCATAATTCCACCTTGATTTCCTTGGCTTCCCGGTGTGGGCAGTGGTGGGCGCAGAAGTGTGGGCCCCTTCCCAAAGCTCCTTGGACCACAGCCAGCCACCTACTCCTTCCCACTCTTCTGGGACTTGAGGAAAATGGCATTTGGAGTTGGAAAAAAGATGGTGGGTGGGAGGGCCTGAAGAGACCCGACTGGAAAGAACTATTACCAACCAGCACATCAGGAGTGCAGCGCTGGTTGACTGAAGACCAGTGGGGTTAGTGGTAGGTGGCTCCAAACTGGCTCTGGTCTCAAGCCAAGGCAGCCAGAGTCTCAGGGGGAGGAAAATGATCAATCTGGCTGAAATTATTGTGACCAAAGCAAAAGCAGATGCCACATCCAGGGCCAATCAGTGAGGGGATCATGATGCAGCCAGGCCACAGAGGGGAAGATGACATGCAGAAGGGAGAATCACCCTGAGGAAGAGAAGTGCTTGGATTTGGTACCAGAGGGAACCCTGAGCCCTCAGGCAGCAGTAATGACTGAGCAAGACCTTTGTCCAAGTGCCCAGGGCCAGCCACGTGCCGGCCTCCCTAACCTGCAGTCCCTTCCAGGTCTGAGTAGCCTTTCCTGCAGGCCTAGTAGCCATGGGGGTCCCACAATTAGAGTGCATTCAGGGTGTGACCTGGCCAGAGAATGGGGGACAGACCAGATGTCCATGGCCCTGGCACAGGAAGGGGTCCTGGCCACTGCTTAATACATATGACTCTTGCGGGGGCGGGGGGGGGTCACTTAATAGAAGGAAGCCCAAAAGGGCCCAATGGACATTCTTGTCCTCTGACAGCCCAAAGAATGCTTTTTTTAAAATTTTGGTTAAGCCACTTGGAGTGGGAAATTGAGCTCCAATAACAACAGTCGATGGTTTTCATGATTGTTTATAAGTGGATGGGAGTATGGACAACCCTTCGGGAAACCAGCATGGGAATATGTGGTTCCTGGTACTGCTGACAGGCTCTGCTACCACCTCATTACCTCCTCTTTCTTTCAATGAAGAAAAGACTGTCCCTGCTGGTTCCCAGGAAGCCCCATAAACCAGTATTCATTGAGTGCCTTCTACTAGTATATGCTGGGAACATTACCGGGATTATCCCTTACCAATGGTGAGAGGGAAGTACATTCTTCTAATTTTACGAATAGGTCTCAAGAGAGTGTAGTGACCTGGCCAACGTCACTCAGCTGGTGTTGCAGAGGTGGGATTTAAGCCCAGGTCTGCCCGAATCTGGAACATGTGCTCTAGCCACCATACTACGCTACCATGAAGAAGGACCAACTTTGTACTGGTCTTTGGACTAGGGTACATGGGTGAGCTGAGATCTAGGCACACTCAGCACTTGCCAAAAGCGAAGTTGACTCCTCAGCAGGGAAGGGGCACAGCCTCTCCACTGCTGCTGCCCAAATGCTCTTCCACCAAGTCTGGCTGTGGACCACCTGGGCCTGAATCAGAGTCCCATCTAGGAGGCTGGCAGGCATTTGGAGCATTTGTGGCAACCACAGTCCTTACACCAGCATTTGCAAGGTGGCAGCAGAGTAGACAAGCACATCGGTGGCAGCGTCTCTCTAGAGAAAACCACATCCCAGAAGTGGGCCAGGACCAAGACAGCTGTCCCCAGGGCCCAAGCTGGGCCTCCATGTCTAACAGCAGGAGGAAATGCCCTGCCTCCATGAAGGGGCCAGTTTGAGAGAAAAACATGGCAACTTGGCCAGGGCAGTTCTCAACATGACCTCCCTTTGACTGGGTTGGAACTCGAATTTGTGTGATTTTGCTCTGGAACAAAATACCAAGAGGCCGAAGATGCCAAAAAGCACAGTAGGGACATGTTAGTTCTGAGCTGTTCTGAAGGAATTCAAACTTGGCAACCAATACTGCTTCCTTTCACCCATCTGTAGGGATCTACGGGCAAGGTAAAGACATGTCCAGGGTCAGCCAAGGATCTTCATCCCGAGGCTCAGACCCCAGTGCCTCAGAGAGGTCCTGGAAGCGACATGTCAGGGCCAATGACCACCCAAGGGCTTGAGGGCCCGGGCTCCCTAGCACACCACATATACTACCAAACACAGGAAGGAGACCACGTGATACAGGAAGGAGGTTTATTGACCATTTATTTAATATAGGAGCCCAATTACATTTTAGAAGATTCAGAAGCACTGGAGTAGAATGAAAATCCCAGAAGAGAGACTAGGGGGGAAAACAATAGTTTCAGTGGAAGACAATGCAATGTTTTTAAAAATCAGCCTAAGGCACAGATACGAAGCCACTACTTAGAAGTTGTCTGCTGCCCTTTGATTCAGTGAAAATGCCTCCAGTGGGTTTGGTATTTCTAGAGAAAGACTAAGCAAGGTGAGGGCGATCCTAGCCCCAGGACAGGCAGCCGTGACCTCCTGCGTTGGAACTCAGACTTTCAGAGTCGGCTCTCATGAAGACCCACAGGCCGGAGGGGGGCAGCTTGGACGAAGGGTACAGGAGGCAGGTGTAGAGCAGGGATTGCAGGGGAGTCTGCAAGGGAGAGAGAGAAGGGAGGGTTAGACATGGGAAATAAAAAGATATCTCAGTGCTGGAGACAGAAAAGATCAGACCAAAATGGTGTAGGGAGGGTTTGCCTCAGACAAATCACACAACCCAACGGAACCTCTTCCGTCAGACCCACGTCCACACTCAGCTGTGTCTTTCCATATCCAGGCATCCCTGGGGCTCAGCTTAGGGACCCGGCTACCATTTGTGATCTATTCTATCAACAGCACAGTCTGTACACACCAACAATGGTGAATGAGTTACTAAGCGAGGCGGGTTCTTTAGGATGAGATCTCCTGCACCAGTACATTGAGTTATCTCAACGGAATCTGACAGTCAGGTATGTGGCCTGGCCAGGAATTGCCTACATGACACGTACTTGCAGTCCTCGCTCTCCAGAAGGTTCCGGTACGTGGCGATCTCACACTCCAGCCGGGCCTTGACATCCAGCAGCACCTGGTACTCCTGGTTCTGCCGCTCCAGGTCGCAGCGGATCTCGGCCAGCTGCTCCTCCACGGTGCTGATCAGGCACTGCATCTGGGACAGCTCAGTGCCGAAGCGGGCCTCAGCCTCACACAGGGAGTTCTGCAGACAGTCTTTCTATAATGGGAAATAATGGGGGGGAAGTCCCAGGGGATGAAAAATTCAGCAGTGAAGATCATGGCTGAATTCACCAGGCAGGTGGCAAATTCCATGAAGTCACAGGGCATTTCTAGAGCTCTGAAGAAATTACCATCAATGTGACCATGACTTTTTACACACACACACAAAAGTCTAACTTGAACTGTCATGTCCCCCCGAATGCCTCCAGCACATGACATGAAGGAGACACCCAGCAAAATCTTGTGAAATGAGTGCCTGAACCTCCACACCTCATTCTGAAGGAAGTGGAGTTAACTTGTAATAGGAACCATTTTTCTGGGTCGAACTAGCCTTAAAAGCAAGCCTTCTCCACCAAGATAGAGGGACCCAAATCTAGCTCAAACTTAATGTTTATAGAACTGAGTAGGGAGACTTCTCAGATATGCTGCGACCAGGCCGTGGCAGTGGCATTCACAGTGCCCTGCGGGTGCAGGAGGACCCATACCAGATGGTGCTGGGCTTGGCGCTCCACCTCCAGGGCGTTCACCGTGCATCTCAGCTCCAGGATCTCCGACTGGCAGCACTGCAGCTCCTCAGAGCAGGATGAGGCCTGCAGGCTGATGCCTTCAGACTGAAGCACAGTGCACAGAGATGTGATCACTACCCTGCCCAGATGGCAGCCAGGCTCCCCCTGCCCCCTGCTCTGCAGCACCGCCTCACCTGAGCTTCGAACCACTGCTCCACGTCACGCCGGTTGGTCTCCACCATGGTCTCGTACTGGCACCGCATCTCCTCCAGCACCCTGCTCAGGTCCACGGTGGGCTCCGTGTCCAGCTCAATCCGGAGCCTGTCTCCCAGCTGGCACTTCAGAATGTTCACTTCCTGCAGGGACAGAAGAACCCCAAATGAGAAAAGGCTTTTGACAGAGCAGACAGCACCTGAACCACTCTCCTGACAAGCAGTATGAGGAGTGACTCCACATACACACTGATGTGAAAGGTCTTGTTGCCAGGGCCAATGAGAAGAACCCATGTGGAGACCTTCCTAATCTCATGAGGCAAATCTTTGGAGAAGAAACTCCCATCTGCCATATCCCACAGAGTCAGCTTGACTCAAACCCAGATCAACCCATTATCCTGATGCCAACTGACTCCAATCCTAGAGCCACAGGGTGAGAGGGGCTCCCTTTCCTGCCCAACACCCCGCCCCCCATCACCACCACCACCACCATGAGTCTGCAGCCACAGGGCCAGACCTTCTCGTGGTTGCTCTTGAGGCAGAGCTGCTCCTCCTTCAGGGACTCCTGCTGGGCCTCCAGGTCGGCCTTGGCCAGGCTCAGGTCATCCAGGAGCTTGTGCATCCCACACATGTCCGCCTCCACCAGCAGGCGCAGGGAGTGCTCACTCTCGTGCCTTCCATCACAGGAGATGCAAGGTCAACAGATGTCAAGGAAAGCCCCTCTCACCTGATCCCGGTTCCCACCTTGAATCCTCATTTGCTCACCTGATCAACTATCACTGTGTTAGACTCTGTAGCTACAGAGCCCATGGTCATTGACTAGATGGAAACCGAGTCTCAGAAAGAATAGTAGATGTCTAGGATTATATACCTTGATGAATAGTAAATAAGGGACTCAACCTAAGTATTCAAACTTCAAATGCAGTATTCATGCTGCCATAGGAAAAAGAATGGCTTAAATATAAGCCTTCTGGACCTACAGTTTGCTACTTCACTCATTGGATTAATTATTTCTCATTGTTTTTCTCATTCATTCAATTGCAACTCTTAATACAAGAAGCTACAATGACAATTATTCCCACTAATGGATTAGGCCAAGGGTTAGTGAGTCTGTCAGTGACCTATGCACTGAAAGTTTATTCTTGGAATGACTTGATTTTGCTTCAGGTTATAACACAAAACCCTCTTTTCTTCTAGATATGGGGAGAATATGACATAGGATCTAACCAATCTAGACCCTACCTCTTTTCTTGTTTTAATGTTTTTGTTCTCTTTCCTCCCATATAATCACCATTTCTAGTAATAGGTTAAATTATGTTTTGGAGAGGAAGAAAGAGGACACTTATTCATTGATTCATTCATTATTCTCGTCAACAACTATTTTTGAACCCCTACTCTGGTGGACCAAGCACTCTGCTTGGACATTTGGGATTTAGGTGGAGGAAGGAGTCACTCTGGGCCTTCTTAGACTCTTACTTACTTGATCCTAAAGTCATCGGCAGCCAGCTTGGCGTTGTCAATCTGGCTAACCAGCCTGGCATTCTCAGATTTGGTGCACAGGATCTAAGAAAAACCAGGAAGACCATTCACACACTAACGTCACACTGGGCTCCAGCCCTATGTGTGGTGTCCACCCTCCTGCTCAAGGAAACCCAAGAACCCTAAGCTCTTTGAGCCTTCAGTGGTTTTGCCTGCCATCGCCCTCTGCCTCCCTCAGGCCCAGCACACCCCGGGCTACTCCACACCCCACCTTCTGCTGGAGCTCCTCGATGGTCTGGAAGTAGCACTGGTAGTTGGGGCACATGGTGGTCTCATGGCATTTGCTCCACTCTCGGATCTTGGTCTCCAGCTCCGCGTTCTCCTGCTCCAGCTGCCGCACCTTCTGCAGGTAGTTGGCCAGGCGGTCGTTCAGGAACTGCATGGTCTCCTTCTCATGGCCGTTCAGGGTGCCTTCACCGTAGGCCCCACAGCTTCCAATGTTGGCAGGAATGTTGCGGGTTCCTGGCAAGGGGCAAGCATTGTGGCAGCTGTTGGGCAGACAGAGATTGGGTCGGCCCAGCGGGGTGGTCCCCACTCGAACTCGGTTGACATGTGCCAGGCTGGCCAGGAGGCCCTGGCAGGCAGCCTTTTCCTCTAAGCCAGGGTGGTACCCAACATCAACGGAGGAGGGGCAGATATTTATTTCTCCAGGATTCTGGATGCTGCCCAGAGGCTGGCTTGAGGTCATGTAGAAGGAAGTCATGGTGTGGGCTGACGCTACACAGGAGGTTCAGAGCAGCTGGAAAGGCCAAGACACGAGTCTGAGAACCCCCTTCCCTCCTGGTCCTTTTATACCCCATCCCAGATGGGTGTTGGCTCAGTGTTTTGACCTCACTGCCTTGATTCTCGACCTGTTGTTGTACCGCCATCCTGTTACTCAGCTGTTGAGTTTACCACCAAGAGTTCCTCACCTCATTAAAGGGATGTTGATGATCTGAGGTGCCTCTTGCCTCTTTGATATCAGATTGTCTGTTCATGGAAGGTCAGAGTTTTATATTCCTACTCAACCACCACCAATTGTTAATGCAGCCTCAGATGTCCTCACTCTGGGCTGGATGGTCTCCCTGTGGATGTGGCCACACTGAAGGATCGAATCTTTCAGTCAATGATTTGTGTAGCAAAAGAGACAGCAAATCTATAAGATCCAGTGGCTCTCCCACCTGTGGTTGGACTCAACCGAGCTTTCCTTTCAAGAGAAATGCCATTGTATAAAACTAGCAAGTCTACTGATATTTGAATATTGGGTGGTTCTCATTTCTTCTTTTTTCTTTTCTCTTTTAAATTGCATACTCCCCTGGAGGAGCAACAAAGCATCAATGCACTACAAAACATTGCTGCTAATTCAGTTTTAGTTGACTAGTCCACATCCGCATTCATTCATTCATTCACTTGTTCAGCATGTTTCCTGAACACCCCCATAACTCAGGTGGTGTGCTGTGTCTAGGACACACAGTGGTCCCTGTTCTTCAGGAGAAAACAGTGTCACTGAAATCGTAGGGTCTTAAACAAACTTGAATGAGAATCATAGATCAATGAGAGTTAGTGAAAGAAAATTCATCATCCTGACCACAGGTGTATCTAGAGAGAAACTACTAATAAAAAACAATAATCTTATTTAATCCAGAAAAGGTAAATGGGGCAACAGAGTTCAAAGGATGTTGAGACAAAAGTTCAAGAACTAACATTTATAGAGGATACAGGTAAGCTAGCTATTCTACTATATTCTTTCCTATTGAGTCCTTCCCACTTGTGAGGTGGCTGTTCTTAGCTTCGATGAGGAAACTAGAATAAAGTTCATTTTTGATTCACAGAGCTGATAAACTGGCAAGGGCTAGATTCCATCTCATATCTGTAGAGCCCATTCTCTCTCAACCTCACCACAACCCCCAGGGGGAACAACCTGTACTGCTTCCCAGGTCATTGCTCGGGAAAGCGTACAAGGCTTAATTATTGGACAGAAAGTTGGAGTGAAAAACAATATTATTGAGGGTCCTTGTATTCCGGCACAGAGATACTGCGGCAGGGAGGACCATAAAATGCACATAGAAAAAGTTATACTTAAATATGAGAATCTGTAACATATCTCGGATCCCAAAGAGTTTCAACAAAGCTGAGGGGCCATTGCGACCAACTTCTGTGGGACCAGGCATTGCCCCTCCAAAGTGGCCAAGGAAAAGTAGAGGGACCTAAAGACTGAGGAAGATCGAACGGGATATTCCTAAAAGAGTATAAATACGTCTCTTCTCCGAGCGAAGTTCAGGAACAAGGATCCCCATTGGAACCCAAATGGGAGGCAGTGGATGTGAGGATTGGTGAGACCTAGGTTCTTGGAATTCTCTCAAGAAGAAATAAAATAAAGAGAACTGCAATTCTGCCCCGAAGGAAAACTGCTCTGGGTCAGCTGAGCCTCTCCCAGCTACTGAGGTCATCGATGAAGAATTCTCGGCTGAGGCAGTCCTTGGAAGACCTCTCCCAGCCAGGTTGTCCTTCAGAGGCCTCAGCACAATCTGCATATGTTCATCTTCAAACACCTTTTTGTTTCTCTCTTCCGTGTCATCATAGCATCACTGTAATCCAGAGAATGGGACCATTAAAATGGTTTCCTTTGATTTGCTAAATAGGCTCCATCTTTTGACCCTATCCCCAGGCAGGTTTTGTCCCATTGATGAACATCACGGTTCCTTCCATCTCAGAACACACTTCTAGGCATCAGAGCTGAAGTTTGCATCCCTGGCTGACAGCCCCCTCTAAAGCTGGATTGTGTGCCCCCTCTCCCCCCATGTGGGCTCTGTAAGGTTTGTGTTACATAGCAGCATTGATGCTGCCTGCTCCTCTGTAGAGCAGTGGATTCTGCTGCTTCTCTTTGGTCTCAAAGGAACTGGCAGTAAGTGGACAGTGTGTTTGGGATACACTTGGCTGTGTAGGTGAGGAGGATCCCACCCTGGACACAGTAGACTGCCCTGTTCATTCCCCTGTGAAAACAGGCCCCAGTCCCTGAGTACAACATATGAGCCGGGTAACATGAAGGGAGGTGCTGGCGATGAGGAGCCAAGAGAAAGGTAGTCCTGCAGCCCTCCTTCATCCACAGGGGCCACCTCTGTCTTCTCTCTTCAGGGGTAAAATTTTTCGAGCTACCATCTATCTTCAGGGGGCGGGGGCCACTGGGTACAGAATAGCATCAGTCAATGCCGTGGCGTTGGGGCCACTCTGATGCGTCTCTGAGTCAGAGCAAAAGCAGTGGAGTTGGAGCAGCCCACAGGGCTTGGGTCTCACCTGCAGCCACCTTGTCTATTGCAGGGGGAGACTCTGAAGATACCTAAGCAAACGCGTGCTGTCCACAGGCAGCACCCACTGTGTGTTACAGCAGAAAGAAGTTTGCTTCTGGTAAAGATCAGAGTTGGCGGGAGGACACCTGAGGGATCTCTGATTTCAAAAGTCCATCTTGAGAGGCTTTGAAACGGAGGAAAAGTCACCATTTTCTTTTCTCTTCCATGTGATTTTTTTAATGGACAGGGCTGTGTTTTTATTGCAGCTAGCGTCATAGTTCATGACTTTGTTTTCTTTTTTTTCTTTATTGATTAAGGTATTACATATGTGTCCTTATACCCCATTACCCCCCCTTCCCACCCCCACTCCTGCCCTCACCCACCCTAGTGTCTGTGACTATTGGTTATGCTTATATGCATGCATGCAAGTCCTTTGGTTGATCTCTCCCACTTCCCCCCACTGTCCCCTGCCTTCTCTCTGAGGTTTGACGGTCTGATCAGTGCTTCTCTGTCTCTGGATGGGATTTTGTACCTGTTACTTGAGCATCTTTAATTTGATTTTAAGGGTTTTTAACATTATTATTCTGCTTTATTTTTGTCCCAGGTCTTCAGTTCATCAGAGACTGATCAATATGAAAATAATTCTCTTCACTTCCCCTCCTCCCCCCCCCAATCCCAGGTTCCTTTATCTACATTCTAGTGCAGGACACTTGCTTTAATATTTATCTGCTACTAGAACCCATTACACAGGATTTTAAGGCAGCATGCAGAGTGGTTAAGGCCAGGAACTATGGAGCCAGCCTGCTTGGATTCAAATTCTGGTTCTTTCATGTACCAGCTGTATGAACATGGCCTGGTGACTTGACCTCTCTATGCCGTGGTTTCTGTATGTGAAAAACGGAAGCAGCAATAGCACCCAGGTCATCGATCTGTTTAAGTATTAAAGAAGTTGATATCGATAAATCATCTATAATAATAAAAGGGTAATATGCTAATTAGACTGGACATCATTCCAGACGTCCTTCTGGATGAAGCCGAGGCCAGAGCAAAGCTGCCCGGGTCCCGGGTGCTGGAGGGAAGCCGGTGCCAGCAGCCGGGGGAAGGAAGGCCTACTCTTGCACGAATTTTCATGCATCAGGCCTCTAGTTTAAAATAATGTCTGACAGGAAGCACTAAACAAGTGTTAGCTATTACTTTTTTTCAGATGGCCTTTAATCATGGTTTAGATGTTCACATCATTTGTAATGCAAAAATGCTTATTAAATTACCATTTTGTACCTATTTAAGTTAGCAAAGATCAAAAAGGGGGGGAAATAGGGGACATCTGTAATAGTGTCAACCATAAATTTTTAAAAAGGTTAATGTCACAAGGTTGGCACCATCACATACTATGGCGTCATACAACCTCTTTGCAAGGCAGGTCAGAAATGTCTATTAAAAGTACAGCTGCACATACCCTCTGACCCAGTTATTCCACTTCCGGGAATTTATGCTGCAGACACACTTACATGGACACATGATATTCATAGCAACAGCTTGGGAGTCACAGCAGACCAGGAAGAAACAAAATGCCCACCAACAGGAGCCTGGTTAATGAGTTGTTCATCCGTGTAGGAAAAGGCTTACAGCCATTACAAATAATGAGGTAGATCTATAGATGCTGACATAGAAATGACACCTACAATATAAGAGTAAATGAAAAAAAAATCCAAGTGCACAACAAGATACCTAGCATGCTACGTTTTATAATTACCAAAAGGGTCATCTATGTAGACATAAATTCATAGCAAGACTGAATCACAGACCATAAAGTTGGGTGTGAAAAATATATAGCTTTTCTGATACTTTAACTAAATTGCACTATTAATCTTCATCTCTCACTACGCCAAAGGGCAGAACCTTAATCTCAGTTATCTTAAGTACCCTTTCCCAAGGGGTGGCCCCAAGTTCCAGAGGCCTCTTTTCCATGGTGTTGGGGCCGAGGAGGAAGGCAGCGGTGTGTCCTCGGCGTTTTCATTCATCCACACTGCAGCCCAGGCGGCCCACCAGGGTCCTTCTGCCTGGAGCTTGGTTGTCAGAACCCCCAGGTGTTGCCAGGTCATCCTTATCCTCATCCACAGTCCCCTGGAGCTCGCAGGACCCCCTCTGTACATCTCTGCTGCTCTCCGACCCACACGATCACTTTTAGCTGCTATGTCACCCTCGGCCTCGGGATTCTTTGTGAAGGTTCTACTTCCCAGACCCCCCTGGACCATTTCTCCACTGGGGTCTTGGTGCCTCTCCAGATTCCACGTGGGGAAGGGAGAACAGGTCCCCTCTGCTCCTAAATCCCCCAGCCTACCTAGGGTATCTATTATGCCCCTGCCCTTGACTCCCCATCCCAGCCTGGGAGAAGGGGCCAGACCAGCAGAGGACCTACCAGCATCTCAGTTCTCTT